TTTTTTTAATTTCAAAAGCAGTTTTTTTCGACGCATTATTTTAGATTGCGAAAAGCTCGCGTCCTAAAGGGTGATACGGTCAAAATTTGGTCTATATCAACTTGACGTATTTCTTTCAATTTTGCATTTAAAAAACCTGAACACCCCTCATTTTGAAGGTGTGTGTGTGTAGAATGTTGCTAGTATTTTGGTTTTGGAATTCACTCTTCAGTTGTCAAAATGCCGTCCAAGCAAGAAGAGCAGCGTATCAAAATTTTGCTCGCGCATCGCGAAAATCCGAGCTACTCGCACGCAAAGTTGGCAAAATCGCTAAAAGTTGCCAAATCAACCGTTACAAATGTAATTAAAGTGTTTGGGGAACGTTTGTCGACAGCCAGTAAGTCTGGATCGGGGGGAAATCGAAAACCGGAAGCCGCTGAGACGACAAAGAGAGTTGCCGGTAGTTTCAAGCGAAACCCTAACCTCTCTCTCCGAGATGCCGCAAATAAGCTGGGTGTATCGTCTACAACCGTGCATCGAGCCAAAAAACGAGCCGGACTATCGACTTACAAGAAGGTAGTGACTCCAAATCGCGATGATAAACAAAATACGACGGCCAAAGCGCGATCCCGGAGGCTGTACACGACGATGCTGACGAAGTTTGACTGCGTGGTAATGGACGACGAAACCTACGTCAAAGCCGACTACAAGCAGCTTCCGGGACAGGAGTTTTATACGGCAAAAGGAAGGGGAAAGGTAGCAGATGTTTTCAAGCACATGAAACTGTCAAAGTTCGCAAAGAAATATCTGGTTTGGCAAGCCATCTATACCTGTGGCTTGAAAAGCAGCATTTTCATAGCTTCCGGGACTGTCAACCAAGAAATTTACGTGAAAGAGTGTTTGAATAATCGTCTGCTGCCTTTCCTGAAGAAACACGGTTGTTCCGTACTGTTTTGGCCGGATTTGGCATCTTGCCATTACGGTAAAAAGGCCATGGAGTGGTACGCCGCCAACAACGTGCAGGTGGTTCCCAAGGACAAGAACCCTCCCAATACGCCAGAGCTCCGCCCAATTGAGAAATACTGGGCTATTGTCAAGCGGAACCTAAAGAAGACCAAAAAAACTGCTAAGGGCGAGCAGCAGTTCAAGGCAAACTGGCTTTCTGCGGCGAAGAAGGTGGACAAGGTGGCTGTACAAAATCTGATGGCAGGGGTCAAGCGTAAGGCCCGGCAATTCGGATTTGGAAAAGCGGAAGCCTAACTGGATATTTTTCCTGAATTTTATACTAATTGAACTTGAAAAAGAAATTTAATTTGATTTTTTAAATAAACGATTTCACCGATTTACACGCGTTTTCCCTTGACCAAATTTTGACCGTATCACCCTTTATTGTGTAAAATATCAAAAGGAATCGAATAGTGCGAGCTTTTTGCAATCTGAAATAATGCGTCGGAAAAAAACTGCTTTTGAAATTTTCCAAAAAGCATCAAAGTAAATTGAACCTTTGAAATTTGACTTCATTGGAGTTGTTTGCAGATGGACGATGTTTCAGTCCTGTGTGACAAATGTGTTCAGTTGCCATCATGAAGTTTGATGAATGGCACAACGAGTTTTAATACTTGTTGAGAATTAGCCATTTCTCCAAGGGCGCCGACACATTTCTGGAAAAATTGGGTTCAATCGGACATGGTTTGGGGAGGCGTAAAATCGTCAAAGTTTGAACTTTTTTCATCTGAAAAATCTTCCAAGTACATACATACATACATACATGAAATTTCAGATATCGATTTTTTTTTCTGTTGATGCCAGATGACTAACAAATTCATGTAACATCGAAACTATTTTTTTTTTTACTTTATTAGAGAGATTTTTAGACGTTGGCTAGTTCATCTCTATAAGGTCGAAACTAGTGTTAACTCGTAAAGATATCGTAAAGATTTTTCCAGCTATTCGATTAAATATTTATCGAATTTTTTGTTATTGCTTGAGCTTGAGCTTGAGCTTGATTGACCGCCCACGGTTGCTACTCTGTTACTGCCAGATCAGCTGTAATTACACAGAGAACCAATAGACGATGCTTGGGACTAGCAATCATCCTCAATGTGTAAAAACTGGTGATCTTAAATTAGGCAATACCAGCGCCGGCCGCGCCCGAACACAGGTCAAGAAAGGAATGGGAAGGATTGTGTTGACATGACACTCGCTTTGATGGAAGCCGAGAACACCTCTGCACTTCCACGAGGAATCACTGGGATGTTGGATAAGAGAGTTGGGTTTGCAGCAGGGTTCGTTTTGGTAAACGATAAGCTGAATTGATGTCCTAACGATCATATAACGCGAAGGAGCTTGGGACTAAACCCACGGTCTTCTGCTCAGTAAGCAAAAACGTTTGCCACTAGGCAGACGAGCACCTTTTTAATCACCAAATTGCTATTATTACCATGTAGTCATATTAACAAATAAAACGATTGACGAATCTTGAATGTGGATGGGCCTGAGATTAGACTCATGATGTTCTGCTCAGTAAGCAAAAACGGTTGCCTAAGGCCACCGAGCCCCTCATATCACATAATACCGTTGCTCAAATTTGTGTATCCATTCAAACCCGAAACCAACGACAGCAACGAGTTTCGCAAAATACAAGATACACAAGCGATTTTACCATAAATCTCTTTGATATGTAAGGACCTGGGACCGCGTTTTTCTGCTCAGTAAGCAGGCCACTGTAACCGACGATCTTTCAAATCCGAAAACTAAAAACTACGAAAAAGTACTTAGGCCTTCATTAAGTTCCACTTTCACGCGACGTTTAATGACAGGGTCCTATCCAGGATTACATCTGAAAAATCCAAATCTGGCCAACGCCCACCTAAACCTGTTCTTATCCACCTGAAATGACTAACGAAAAGAAGACTTTGACTACCCAGCCATGCAATAGTCTCATTCCGTGCCTTATGGCAACTTGATGATTCTATTGCGCTCATCTTTTTGCACCACCCAGGAGAGACTTGGTCCTGTACCCAATGCTTAACTTATCTCCATTCCACTCAGCTACTAGCAATTTCTTGTGATATAGTGGGCGGAATATTATTATATGAGACAATTCAATGCAGACGTCTTTCCAAATTTGGCAGATCGACAGGTAATCGGTGAGTTACCACGATAGTTGCTATTCAACAACTCGACAACGTCCCATCGTCAACGCCTTCTATGAGAATTCCCCATTGCAGTCATCATTGCACCCTATAGATCAACTACCCTGGTTATCGCCTGGTACCTTATAGCACGAGGCTAGGAGGCGAACCGGAAGAATCGATGAGCTACCTCTCCCCCTTTATCGATTTTTTTGTTATTCAAGCGCGTAAACGACATCCTTTCTTATTTCTACTCGTTTGATTTAGCGCAGTAGAGAAAATAAATAAAAGTACTAATTTATCTGAACAGGCATAGAGAAGAACCATGACGTGAAACAGGATCATAAATTCGCCGAAAAAAGTGCTGAGCGTCTTTCTGCTAAAGGCTAAGATTTACCAAATTGTTGAGAGAATAATTGATTGATTGATTGATTTATCTTTATTTAGGAGGCTTTCAGGCTGAGGCTGGTTCGCCTCCATTTGAGAGAATAAGTTTAACGAGAAAAACTTAAACGGGGAGGAGCTTTAACTGGGTGGACACTGATATTCTGCGGCCTTTCAACCTGTTGCAGACACCAGTTCAGCCCATGTCCAGCAACAGACGGGCCAAAACTCTTGCGACTACCCAATCATGGAACCGAAGATATGGGATTGTCCGGTCCGATTTGCTGACCCAGCTGCCTACACGTCATCATCATCTTCCAAAGGCTTTAAGCCTATACTACCATCGGTCCTTTTCAGGACCACCAAAATTTTCCAAAAGAGTTAAATTTCTGAACATGTCCCAACTAAAATTCAAATCAAAAGGTTCTTTTCAGGGCAATCATAGTCATACTGAAGAGTATAAACAGAGAGAACCCCGCTCAAATTCCTATTCCTACACAAAACACAAGCTCTTGCTGTAGTTAACAAATAACATTTATTATATAATACCACGTAGTCCTACATCACCATTGCGTACAACCTTATAGGGTTGTCTCTTGTAGTTTTTTTACTTTATTTAGGAGATTTTTAGTTATGGGCTAGTTCATCTCCGAGGTCTTTCTGGTATTCGTAAATTTTTCGTGAAATTCCACTGAAAAAATCCAAGTCCCTGAAAGTTTATTTATGACAAAAAAAAACGATTTAACACTAAATCTCAACGTTTAATGTATTTTATTCGATTGCCGAAATTTTATGTATGATAAAAGTTCAAACTCTGACGATTTGGCGTCACCCCAAATCGTGTCCGATTGGGCCCAAATTTTAAATAGGGTCTTTTTTCAAATCAATGAACATTTTGTATATGGCTGGTTTGAAAAATTTGATGGTAACATTTCCCATACATTCCATTGGCGCTCTAACCTACATGATGCAAGCGAGATAAAGAATATTTCAAAAAAGATTTTGCTGTTTCTGTTTTGCAGAGGTTCGTCGCTTATTGTTGCAAGATGGATAATCATAGATATGTACAGAACAATCCGACGAACCATTTCTCGATTACTTTTTCGAAAGGAGATATCAGCTTTTGTAAACAATGCATTTGATCGTTGATTTGGCGAAACTAGTAGCTCGTCCACGCATACTAACACTACCATCAGATAGGTGAAATTTTCCCGATTTGGTATTTCAAATAACCCCTCTGCAGAAGTAAGGGTGAACTACTAACACATAATGGGTGTTCTAAATAGTTTAACCGAACGGAAAGTCCAGCACAGCTCGGTCAGCATCAGGTGAGAGACGTGATGACGCGCGCCTTCTGACGAGAACGCGACCACCACGACGGCGGACGCCCAACGAGAGCGCGAGAATGAGCGAGCTCCAATGTAAATAGGTTCCTAGGTACACCTCTTGAAGCCGCAGCAACAGAGAGCACACTTCAGTAATAAAACATTACTGCTGATCAATATTCTATGCTAGTCTAGAGGTAACGGTGACCAGTATCGGTCGTGTCGGGGTTTTTTTGCACGCCGCCAAAGCAAAAACCATTGTACAGTGCTCAAAGTACTTGTTGTCTTGTCGTACTTGCAATAAGACATCAAAATCTGTGTTTGTACTCGGATCGTCGGTTGTCGCGGTAAATTTCGTTTTTGTTTGCTGCCAAAGTGCTTTGTTTTTGCTGCTCGGGAAGGAAGGATACCTACGCGGAGCTACAATCTCGATGTGGGTGGATTTGCGATTGGCGAATGCATTTTCTGCCAAATTAAGACGCGTTCAACTGAATGCGAGAAGTGAAATTGAGTGCTTGTGTTGTGAACCGTTTTCGAGCCGAGATTCATTGCAGATTTACCCAGGTCTATTGGATTCGATTCAGTGATTCATAAGCACCCGTTGAAAGCGTTTGCGAAGATTGTGAAATGCGCTGGCTTGTGGACCACATACAACGAGGGAGAGGGAGCGACGGTTGAGACCGCGAGTAGATTGAGATTGCATATTGCAACAAACCGGTGACGGATATATTGGCAGTAGAACCTGTGCCAAGCAAAGCGACTTGTTTGCTCTATATGGTTCTCAGTTATGTGAAATTGAAAAACATTTAACTTTTTACTAGCTGGACCAAGGGCATGAAATGATTCAGTGCAAAGCTTTTGAATATAAATAGCACTAAGCACTTTCCCGAACGTGCATAGAACTTCCTGAATCGTGACATAATGCCTCGCAAAATGTTGTGAGTGCTGATGGCCTGCGGGGGTTGCAGTGTAGGCGTTTAGTTGATTATCTCGAAGATGGGACAGTTTAAAATTCTATTCGCTTCAAGCAACGTGTGATTTTTATGGATCCAGTCAGACCCGAATTGGAAGTTGAAACCGGGGAAATTTTCAGTGGATGGGACAGTGGCTCGATTCAAACAAAACTCAGTCAAAAGTTGAAAATAAACCGCCTAAAAAAATGCAACCTTTCATGTGTTTCCAATATTTGTTTCATTGTCATTTCGACTCCCATCTTTCAGGTGAGACATTTTCTAGGCTTCTCTGACTTAAAAGTATCATTATTATATACGTCATTTATATTAGATGACAATACTTGGCGATTGATAAGAAGAGTAACTTCATTTACTTAATTTACCAATCGGCTAATACCCCGTACAGACTATGGCTAAGATTTCCAGTGAAAACTAGATGTCTGAGTGCTCATTGCAAGACAGTCTATATCACATGATATAAGCCATAGTTTGTACGGGGTATAAGGCTTGACGTCCTCTGCTGTCTGAAGAAGTCGTCTTCACTCTACTCGATCAATGGCTACAAGTCGCCAGCCTCAGTTCGTCAGGTCGCCTTCTACTTGGTCGATCCACCTTGCCCGCTGCGCGCCTGTTCTTCTTGTTCCTGTTGGGTTGCTTTCGAGAACCATTTTAAGTGGGTCGTCGTCCGGCATTCTTACAACGTGCCCAGCCCACCGTTGTCGTCCAAGTTTTGCAGTGTGGATGCAGCTGGTGCAATCCATGGTTCATTCGTCTCCTCCACGTTCCGTCATCCATCTGCACACCACCGCAACATCTTCCTTTCTAAAACACCAAGGGCGACTACGGTTGGTCCTCCCCGAGCATAGTCCAGGTATCGTGGCCGTAGAGGACCACCGGCTCGACCAACGGTCTAATCTTGTAAATAGTCAAATTTGTACAGCGGCGAATTTTATTCGACCAGAGCGTCTTTCGGAGTCCAAAGTAGGCACGATTCCCTGCCAAAATGCGTCTTTGGATTTCTCTATTGGTATCATTTTCGGCGGTCACCAGTGAGCCACGAACTCGTCGACCACCTCGATTTCGTCACCGTCAATCTGAACTCGGGTTCAATCCGCCTAGCTTCAGCCTCCAGTCTGACGTAAGTTTGCGGTATCCTCTTAAAGTTCCGTGCCATGATGTCGATGTTATCGGTGAAGCCAAGAAGCTGGATCGACTTCCTGAAGATCGTGCCATTCGTGTCTATTCCAGCCCTTCTTATCACAACTTCTAAGGCGATGTTGAATAGCAGACACGAAAGTCCATCATCTTGCCGTAACCCCCTTCGAGATTCATAGGGACTCGAGAGTGTGCCCGATAGTCGAACAACGCACATCACTCGATCTATCGTTACCTCGTTATCCGGATTTCCTTTCAACAACTCATCCGGTAATATTTCCTATTCCCAAGTCTTGGCAATTACCCAGTGCAGCGCTCTAGTCAGTGCTTCACCACCGTATTTTAATAGCTCACTTGGTAGTTGATCTACCTTCACCAGTTGCTTTGTTGTTCTTCAGTCGACCGATCTCCTCCTCAACTTCTTGAAGATCAGGGGCCGGTAGCCTGTCGTCTTTTGTGCGTGCTCCAAGGTCTGTATCCGTACCCCTTTCGTTTTCTACTGCATCACCGTTGAGGTGCTCGTCATAGTACTGCTTTCACCTCTCAATCACGTCACACTCACACCGTCCAAGTCCTTGCACATATCGGGTGGCGGAGCGTAGCCTTTGCGTGAACTATTTAGCTTCGCGTAGAACTTTCGTGTGTCGTTTACGTGGTACAGATGTTCCATCGCCTCGCGATCTCGGGCTTCCTGCGGGCGTTTCTACCGACTTCATTTGCGGCTTCTGAATGTTTGGCTCCCGTTTGACTTTGGCTCCCAGTTGACAAGTATTGCGGATCTTAAGGCGTTTACCGTAGTGTTGTACCGCAGTTGTCAAAGTTCTAGCGCCAGTATGAGCTCAATACTGAAAAAACAAAGTGTGCTTTGACAAACTTGAAGCATTTTTGCTGGTGATTTTATGAAACCTTGTGTATGTGACAGCGTCGGTGGAACTTCTTCTCCTTGGAATTAATCCGTAAAACGGAAATGAATCTCTACAAGAGCAATATATTGAATGAGTCCGCAGTACCCAGATATTGATGATGCTTCTCACAGCCATTAGCTAACTGCCTCCTGTCAAAGTTCATTCATGAGTTGAATCAGAAACGTCTCGTAAAATCTTGCATCACTTTTAGATAGACCAAACTACATTGATGGATTTTCTTCATCGACTCTCTCTGTCGTATGTAACTCGACTACAAAAACGTTTCCTGTCGTCTTTGTTGTATTAGATGCTAGATTGTTGCTTCTTCCATCGAACTGTGTGTCGAAAATATCCGGCGCTATCTTAACCCAGCCGTGGCGATCCAAAGATAAAGTCGATCAAGAGAATCGATCAATGCAGATATGACCTATTGAAAAGTGACGTGATAAATTCTCTTTTCCGGAATAGGGCTATCGAACTAATTTCGGTCTTGCTATGCCAAACCCTTGCCTTATCTCTATTTTTGAACCGATTTGTACAACAATCGCAATGTTTCCACTAAGCATGGTTTTTTTTTATTCCCAAGTGGAGCATTACTTCACATAGGGGACCCATTTACGTCACGTGTCTCGAAAACAATGAAGACAATCAGCTACATCCAACATTTAAACTTCTAATTATTTGCTCACGAGTTAAATTATGACTGATATAAAATAAATTCAACGGGAATATCGAATTGATGATTTAAGGGGGATGTACCGAAGTGAAGGGAAGGAATGACGAAGGAGTGCTGCGTCCTATGATTTGCTTTAATAAAAGATACTGTTAGCCTAATGGGGCCTCCCTTAGCTCAGTCGGTAAAGGCGCAGCTACAAAGCAAGACCATGCTGGAGGTGGCTGGGTTCGATTCCCGGTTCGGTCTAGGAATTTTTCGGTTTGGAAAATTTCTCGACTTCCCTGGGCATAGAAGTATGATTGGACTTGCCACACAATTATACCAATGCAAAAATGGTACAGGCATCGAAAGCTCTCAATTAATAACTGTGGAAGTGCATTTAGAACACTAAGTTGAGAGCACGCAATAAGCTAATATGCGATATGCAATAAGCTTGAAATGCGAAGAAGAAGAAGAAGAAGAGGTTAGCCTAATTGTGCACGCATAGCTTTTTTTAAAACACAGTACCTACCCGTTTTTGGCAACACGACCTCATCAACTAATTCTTTCTTCAAATTTACGCTTTCTGTGGAATTCCAAGTATATAGGATCCTCAAAGAGGGGTCAAGTGATATCAGAAATGGAATTAGAAAGTGAAGAAGACAAATATTATGTGATGCCAAAAACGAGAAGGGACTGTATACCAATTGCTAAGCGTTCTCCGCTTATCTTCTGAGCTTAAGTATCGGAACAAACATATTGAGTATTGATAGATAATTTTGATATTTTTGAATGAATTCCTCGTCAATTTGCGTAGTAGACGAAGTAGCACAAAACCCCATGCAATTATTCCAGAATGTTTAGCTTCTTCTGACGGGCAACTTGCAACAGCAAGTTTACCCAATGCCGATCACAATCTAATGGTACCTCATCCCGATAGTAACAAGGTACTTGTCGCCACACTATCGTCTTCTTCCAGCTCGCAGTGATGATAAACACGAAAAGATGCTATGTGTTTTGCCGGCTTTGCTTGCAAAACACGATTTGGTTAAAACAAAATGCTCAAAATATACGATAGAATTGTGCCTGCGGTGTCACGACCTGATCGGTGACTTTTTTGATTTGTTGTCCACTGGAGTGTAAAATATATGCACTGGTTCTTTATTTCTCGTTAACGAATGATCGAGAATTAAGCGGAAATCAATTTCATGATCGATATCGATGCCTTCGTGCTGTGGATTTATGTTTTATAAATAACAAGCCTAGGTTATCAACATTGTGAAAATCAACGACAATATGACGTATTCGCCAACACGAATTCAATTTTAAATTGCGCTTTCCCAGCGCATCAAAAAGGAATTTGGAACATTATTCGTCATAGAAAGTGTGTATGGCAAACGCAGGGTGTCGACTAAAACTTGGAAAACCAGGGAATCTCAGGGAATTCAATTCAAATTCAGGGAAACATTTCTTAATCACAGAAACTTATTAATAAGTATGACTGACTTTGTTAGTTTCAAACAACTTCATTACTCGGTGTAGTTTGAGCATGATTGTTCATTTCAAATTTTAAATAAAGTTGCGAACTTGCGGTTGCTCAATGCTTGAGTCGAGCAAGTTGAGCAAAAAATACTCAAATAAAATGGTATCAATGTTGGGCCTAATATAGATTCAGCTCCCACTCATGGTTGGCACATTGCTGAGTTGAGCAGAGATCCTGAGAGTAGATACAAATCCAGTTCCGTAGACGCTAAACGTTGTTAGT